CCACCCCACCCCCACATGATCTGGTGAGCGGTGTTCACTCTGTTTACATTTTACAATCATAGAGACGGTTTGGTAACGGCTATTAGGGGCAGATAATTGAGTTTGAAACGATTTTAAACTTAGAGGAGGTAACTAAGAGGAAGCTGCTTTCACGTGGGGGGGGGGGGGGGGAGGGGGGGTTTAGTGTTTTTAAGCAAATATTTTCAGTGGCAGCATTGGTACTGTCGAATTCACAAATTATAAATTACTGAAAAGTAGAAAAAAAAACAACTAAATAGCGGCGTATGATACGCAGCCGGTCGGCTCGTAGTAATTAATTCTTAAATAAATAAAGGAAGAGGGATGTTAAATAAGGCATCGACGTCGGACCAGTGTACTGTTCGTTGAGGAACAGATCAAACTGATTTTATTTATAAGTTTCGGTTGCTAGAGGGTTAAAATTGTTTTACAGCACGCTACTTCGATTTCGCCGTGCAGTTTTTTTTTTAACATGACGTTCGTGCGGACAACTTTTATCGCATATGTACGTTCCTCTAGTTTATCTGATTCAGTCGGTGATCAACAGTGTTACATTTGAATTCGTTTCCGGCTTAGGTTTTTTTTTTTTTTAAGGATTATTTTGTGACTTGTGTAGATTTAAGATTTAATTAAAGCACACAGGTTTCATGATTGTAGACTAGGTAGAAAACTTTGTATTTAACTTGGGCTTCGATGTTGTAGATACATTAGGATTTACGTGTAAAGATAACCTTTAAGGATATGTTTAAGCTTTATCAACGTTTATTAGTTTAGTTTTTCATTATCTTTTTGTGATTTGCGTCTTGCATTTTATGTTCTTGTTAATGTTATTTTTTTCTTGTTCGTGTTTAGGATAAGGTTTGAAGGTGTAAATCCATATTAATCTTTCGAGTAAATGAAACAGTCTGAGCTGTTATATCTGCTTAAATGTTTCCGATCAATTTTCAATTAGTTTGGGATTTAGTTTGCGCGTGGGCTTATGTTCAGAGTTTAGTGAAGTTAATTAAATATTTGTTTAAATTTAATTGTAAAATATATTTAGATATACCCCGAGCAACTTGTTCTCAAATTAAATAAAATGTAAATATCCGTCCTTTCATCTTATATGAAGGAAAACACAACTATAAAAGATGTGCATACACAGATACAGCTTTACCAAATATTTTTATGTAGAAAGTAAAACCAATTCAACAGCCTTTGGTGTGATAATAAAACACTGTGGATGCCTTCCTTTTCTTTAAATTAACTTGAAAATATCACAATTTTGTAAATGAAAGCCTGGTAGTTTTTAAACATTGTGTTGTTTGTTTTAGGTCTGCAATTTAAGCCTGACGATACGTCTTAAATTCACGATCGACATTAATTTTATGAACTACAATGGTGAGTACAATTTACCTTGTTGAAGCACTCGATCAATAAATATAATAATCTACTAGCCGTTTCGGCTAGGCATCGCTCAAGCCCGTTACATCAAAGCTTGCATTCATATATTTAACGAAGAAATACGTGAGTTAATAAGAAAGATAAATATTAAAACGTGTTTGGAGTTGGTGAATAAAAACGACGCCCAAAAAACAAAGCAGCAACAAAACTAACTGATCTTACACAATATATATAACATAAAATAAACGCTTTCCACATCAAATTTTGAAAGATATTTTCAAACTTAAAATTGAAAACTGAAACTAAAATACACAAACACTTTTACCAACCGCACCCCCCCTCCGCCAAAAAATCAAAAATCAAAATCAAAACAAACAAAGCTACTAAATAAAAGTTAAGTGCGCATCACTTACATAAGTTACGACACATAACATTTTCAAACCCGACCACTCTTGCTTTCTTTGAGAAAGTTTTGTGAAGCATCACCCTCGCACAAATCACGATCTCATTTTTTTTTAAGAAACGTGTATCTAAGAAATCGGTACTTGGGTGCTTTTAGAGAAATTAGAACTTGTTACAGCTACTTCAAATAATACACGGCTTTAATTTATTACGTTTTCATTCCAATAAAATAAATTAATATTTTCAAGCTCGCTGTCCACAATAGGTAGAGTTAAATCTGTTTTTTTTTTCTTGCTTAGACATGTTCATGCCCAGGTACTCAGAAGAGAACTAACTTAAAACTCAAACCTTCTAATTGTTTACTCAGCTACTACACTCCTTATATAATCAAGGCACAGTAGTAATGAGGAGATGTGTCACACTATGTACAATATGTACAATATTTTTACACGCTTTTCTTTAGCCCGTTTGTTTGTGTTTTTGTTGGTTTATTTGTTTGTGGATTTGTGGTGAATCTTGTTGCGCAACTCTGACGCACTTCTAATTCAGCGATATGATTCAAATTTTCAAAATAATTCACGAAAATCTATTTTAAATCTGCTTAGACAATAGATCAATCATTAAAATCTTATTTTTAAAAAATATTTATTCAATACTAAGAGAAGAGATAACTAACTGGACGCGATAGCCCGATCAGTCCGCAGAGCTGTATTTCATGCTGTTTAATTGGTCACGGTTGGTTGCCGCAGAAATCAACCACGTGGAACGGGCAGACAGATGTCGCAATTTTCTGGTCGTAATTTAGCTATATACAAGAAATAAAGCGGAGATTAACAAGATTAATTACGCGCGACAGAGCGATCAGCTCGTATTAGAGGGTGAACTGTCGTCACGGTTGGCTGATTTTATGATGAGCGTCAACTACAAAGAAAGGGTAGACGGCTATCTTTTAAAGATCGCAAAACCAGTGATGGGATTTTAAGGTACATATTTTGGTCTTAGTCTTTAATTCAAGTGTTCACTTCATTTAAATTGAAATACTAAAAGGTGGAAAATATTTTTAAAATATATATATATATAAACCTTTACAATAACAAGCTCTTGAATGCGTTGAAAAAAAATTAAACAGATTTGCTCTCTTTAATAAAAGCTTAGGTCGCTCAATAATATCTGTCACATCTTGTATCGTATTTTTCTCAATGCATTTAAAAACTAGTATTATAAAGTTTGATGTATGCGTTTTATTTACATTCAATGAATGAAGCTTTTTAAACGAGATTGCCGAAATATTTTAAGAAAGACAGAGTGTCCTACATCCGAATAAAATTCGTTGCATATATTTTAAAATATCAGTGAATTTCTAAAATTATTCATAATTGTTTTTTTAATCCGCTTTTGTGATTCGATTTTTTAAAATACATTTGGGCTTGATGTTTATGTTTAAGCTGTGCAACATATTTTGCTTTAATTTTTTAAAATACTTTCAGGAGCATGCAAAACCACCTGGTGGTTCTAAATGGACATTAACCTTCATTTTGTTTGGGGTGTTTAGCTATTTAATGTTGTATTGGCTGTTCCGCACAGGAACAAAAGGATTTGTACCCGACATCAACAATATACAATTTTCAAGTAATTATAAAGTGTTTAAAGCTAGTGAAACCATTCATTACAAAATATCTCTACACACAACCAATACCAACTCCTCTAATGCCAACTCCGGCGAATATTTGACATTATTGCAAGAGATGAAGCTACCACCTTATATCCCAGTGACAGAAGCTTTAATGAAATATACAACATTTAGCAATAATTCTATAGTGGAGCATCTAATCAGGTCAGAATTCGGTCTAGAGTCCTATACAACTGAAAGTGGTGAAGAAATTTGGACTGAAAATGGCGTACAATATCGCACGTTCCCTTACAAAGAACCAAAAGACAGCAAGTATTACAGTTCAGAATTTGAAGCCTACATTCCTTTCAATGAAAGTGTATTTTTTGAGGGCACAGCAGGTTCTCCATTACTTCACAATGGTACAAGAAAAGTGATACTCTGGTGGAAACACAAAGATGACATGGCAAGCATTAATGATTTACACAATTTGAGAGCGTGTCCAGAGTTTCCGTGTGTCGTCACGTCAAATAGAAGCTTCACAAACATCAGCAGTGTTTTTCTTGTTGACGGTAAGTAACATTATCTCTAAAGGTTTGTTTGATTTTATTTAATGGAATATTTACCAATATTACTTCTTTTTCGTATTTTTAAAAATTTAAAATAATAAATAATATATCTTTTAGTTGAAGAAAATGTTTGAAATCATATAAAAATTGCATAGATTTCTTGTTCTTGCAAGCTTCCTAATATAGCTTTTTGGAGAAATTTATGTGTACAACGAAAAGGGGAAATAAATAATTAAATACGTGGTATTATCATTATAAAATGGTAATTTTGTTGTAACTCTTTAATACCAAGGTCTAGTTATGTTTGTTTTTTTATGTGTCAAGGGATCGAACTGTATGATGATCAAGACAACTACCAGAAATAAATTATTTAAAATTAACTTCCTTCTGAAAAACAATTTGCAAACTAGACATAACAACAAGTAATTACTGCCCCTTATATATTGACTAGTTGTAGACATTAATTTATCGTGAAGTGGCCCACACCGCACACATCCTTAACCGTAATGTCGAGGCTTACAGACTGTGGAGACCCCCCATGTGTTCTTTACACTAATACCTGGCGAAAAGGCACCAAAAAGACATACCCTCGGGCAGATGAGGCTCGACAGCTGGGACAGCAACTCTTCTAGGAGAGACAACTCCAAAATAAAACAACTGCTGCCTTGTAGTTATTTCTTTGTCGGACAAAGGCTATGGAAGGAAATCTAAAAAAGAAAAGCAGGCTGTAATCGAAGTCAATAGCCTCAAACAGTTTACACGTATACTTAATTGTGTTGGAGGGAATCCCTTCCAACACTAAAATTAAGAACGAAGAAGAAGAAGAAGAAGAAGAAGAAGAAGAAGAAGAAGAAGAAGAAGAAAGAAAACATCAATGCCTGTCTCGAAGACACAAAGAATAAACATGCTTATTGGTCAGATTTCCAGGTTAAAAACCACGTATATCTTTGCTAATTACACTTGCAGAGGTAGAGGAAGTAGTTGTTGAAGTAAACTGAATTTATTATAATATTTCTACTTAAATACAAATGTATTTAAAGATAATGATATCAATGTTTGCACCTTTGTATCTGTGATATTCCAGCCCAGTTTGTGAGAGATGAACCGATACCCCACCGTCGTGAAGATCAGGTTTTTGTACACTACCACGTCGAGGCCCCAACAAACGGTGTGTACTGGAGGTTCGGGAATGTGTACGAAAAGTACCAGAACTGGAACACAGCGTTCAACTGGACAATGTCCTTCAGAAGGGACTCTGACATCAGGACTTATTACGGCTTGATTAGAAAAAGAAAACACGTCAAAGAAAAAAATTACACTGCGATATTAGCAGCTAAAACGAGTAAAGTCGCTTGGTTAGTTTCAAACTGTAGATCAGCGTCTAAACGCGAAGATTACATCAACGAACTGAAACGTTTCGTAACTGTTGATGTATGGGGAGGTTGTGGCAGTTTTAATTGCCCTAGGGGCGACGATAAGCACTGTCTGGATGAAATTCGCAAGAAATACAAATTTTATTTAGGCTTTGAAAGCAACTTTTGCAAAGACTATGTCACCGAAAAACTCTACCGGTTCTTCGGTTCCGATTTCATTGTTATCGCCCGTGGATCAGACTTATACTCGAGTATTCTCCCTTCAGAAACGTTTTTAAACGCGGCTGACTTCAAATCTCCCGAGGAATTGGCTAAAAGGATTCTATATTTAGATTCTCATGACGATGAATATATTGCAATGTTGAAAGAGAAAGACAAGTATTTCAGCATCTACGAGGATTATCCGTTATATCGTGCTAATCCTGTATTTATGGAATACCGTTATGAGGCTGTCGCATTCTGCCAGTTATGTCAACGTATGTGGAACTTGGAGAAATATGCCAAAACTATTCCAGATATGCTTGAGTGGTTTAATGTTAAGGACTATAAGTGTTAATACTATGAAGATGTGGAATTTCCGTAAACTTTATAATAGGTTGTATTTTTTTTTAGCTTGCTATCACAGCCAAACAGAGTTTCTTGCCCCCCCCCCCCCCCCCCCCTTGAAGAAAGTCTACCGCCCCACCCCCCGAAACAAGATGGAATTTATATAGAAAACATATACCTTTTCCAGTGTCAGCGCCCCCCCCCCCCGGAAAATGTCCGACCCCCTCCCTCTGAAAATATCAAGTGCCGCCCCCCCCCACCCCCGGGGGAAAAAAATTCTGGAAGAAACACTGCAGCCAACACTATACCACACACGTTCGCAAACAACACGTTTTATATTACTGTCAACAATTAAGAGATTTAAACATAATATTAAGGGAAAATTTTAAACAACAGGCACAGGAAAAGAACTAAGAAAAAAAATCACCTTTCAAACCGTAATCCAATTTCTGCATTTCGTTTACCCTTTAAAAAATAACAGAATCAAGAAGGATTACTGATGCTATAGAAATACAAATGCCCCTTGGTGTTACGGTTGACGAAGTTGAATAACGTTTGATAGTTCGTGCATGAAGTTACCCAGCCTAAACTTGAGAGTGTAGCATATTATAGGGATTTGGCATTTAAGGATACCCCCTAGTGTGATTAAAAAAAATCTTTGGATTACACACACGTTGAACAATTAATAGAAGAGTTTACAGTAAACAAAACAAAAAAAGAAAAATAAGCGTTTCTATTATATAGTGAGATCTATATTTAAAAAAAATTATTCGAGCAGAGCTGTATGTCAATAGCATACAATAGTGATACATTGAGTTGAATTCACACCGTAACATTACTTGTAAATTAAACTGTTTGTATGTCAAAGCAATTTTCTACAATTAAATTAATTGAAACGTATTAAATCCGTTCCAGCCCCCCCCCCCCCCCACATGCCAAAGGACGTAGGATAATGCAAAGAAATAAACTGGTTTCATAATGTAATGTAATGTAATGTAATGTAATGGAATGGAATGTAATGTAATGTAATGTAATGTAATGTAATGTCATGTCATGTCATGTCATGTCATGTCATGTCATGTCATGTCATGTCATGTCATGTCATGTCATGTCATGTCATGTCATGTCATGTCATGTCATGTCATGTCATGTCATGTCATGTCATGTCATGTCATGTCATGTCATGTCATGTCATGTCATGTCATACTATATATATCATGTGTTGTCTTGTCATGTCGCAATATAACATGTCATTTCGTAGCCTGTCAAGTCTTGTAATCTGATGTCATGCTACGTTATTTATAGTACTGTGATGTAATTTAAGGTTAAGCCAGCTATGTGCTTTACTGAATTGTGCAACATGTTCTGCTCTACTAAGCAATGATATGCTGTGTTAAGCTATGCTAATTTATGCTAAGCTGTGTTATGCAATGACATTCAATGACATGCAATGAAAAGCCATCATATGATATTCCATTGTATGCCTTGCTATGCCGTGTTCAGACAAATATGCCATGTTATTGAATGGAACAAAAAACAATCCTCTGTTCCAAATCATACGTCTTATTAAGTCTTATTTTGAAATTGTTCAGCTTGTTAATTGAATGAAAATAAATGAAAATATTAAGAACGTTTGTTGTGGTTGATTGTGAGAATATATGCAATAGACGAAGGCATCAGAGTAGAGAACATAGAGGTCAGGTCAGGTCAGGTCAAGTCAGGTCAGGTCAAGTCAGGTCAGGTCAGGCCAGGTCAGGTCAGGTCAGGTCAGGTCAGGTCAGGTCAGGTCAGGTCAGGTCAGGTCAGGTCAGGTCAGGTTAGTTAGGTTAGGTTAGGTTAGGTTAGGTTAGGTTAGGTTAGGTTAGGTTAGGTTAGGTTAGGTTAGGTTAGGTTAGGTTAGGTTAGGTTAGGTTAGGTTAGGTTAGGTTAGGTTAGGTTAGGTTAGGTTAGGTTAGGTTAGGTTAGGTTAGGTTAGGTTAGGTTAGGTTAGGTTAGGTTAGGTTAGGTTAGGTTAGGTTAGGTTAGGTTAGGTTAGGTTAGGATAGACTGGGTTAGGCTAGGTTAGGTCAGGTCAGGTCAGGTCAGGTCAGGTCAGGTCAGGTCAGATCAGATCAGGTCAGGTCAGGTCAGGTCAGGTCAGGTCATGTCAGGTTAAGTCAAGTCAAGTCAAGTCAAGTCAGGTCGAGTCATGTCAGGCCAGGTAAGGTCAGGTCAGGTCAAGTCAGGTTAGTTAGGTTAGGTTAGTTTAGGTTAGGCTAGGTTAGGTTAGGTTAGGTTAGGTTAGGTTAGGTTAGGTTAGGTTAGGTTAGGTTAGGTTAGGTTAGGTTAGGTTAGGTTAGGTTAGGTTAGGTTAGGTTAGGTTTGGTTAGGTCAGGTCAGGTCAGGTCAGGTCGAGTCAGGTCAGGTCAGGTCGAGTCAGGTCAGGTCAGGTCAGGTCAGGTCAGGTCAGGTTAGGTTAGGTTAGGTTAGTTAGGTTAGGTTAGGTAAGTTAGGTAAGGTTGAGTTGAAGTTTCTTCTTGAATGGAGATTGTCTAAGTTAGCAAATCCAAAAAGAAAAAAGCATGCTGAAATCGGATACACCATCCTGTATTGCACATAACAAGCTGACACATAATACTTCATTGTGCTGGAGGAAATGACGCCCAACATTGCAATTAACGAAGACGTTTAAGTCACGTGAGTTCACTTATATATTTTTTATATACCCTCAACTCGTTAGTATTTACAATGGTAATCTTGTAGATTACATTTAGACCTTCGCATCTTTTAGACTTATTTAAATGCTAACTTAAATGTGACGATTGCTTTTTTATAAACTTGATTTTTATTCTTGTAAGGACTTGTAAAGACGACAGCGCTAAAGTTAAAGTTAAGGCTAAAGTACGCAACAAGAAGAGCATTATAATGAAATTCTTACAACTTTCAAAATGTGAAAACGTGTTCTATAAGGGGCCTAAGTGCCCTAAACCCCTAAGTAAACCGTCAAAGCTGAAACAACACCGAGACTGAATATTTGAAAGAATTATTTCAACTAACAAAAATCTAACTTTGCACAAAAATACAATTTAGCGACTTTAAGACACGAGTAAAATGGGTAATGATTAGTCGTAGGTAATGAGGGTTCTGGGGCGTAGCGAGGTCGGGTGTCACCCGGTGCGGTCCCCACCCCTGCCCCCCCCCTCGCTACGCCCCTGTGAGGGTTGTCAAAGATGAAGTTCCAGTCAGTGTCGTGATGTCTGCAAATCAAATTAATAAACCACCATGCCAATTACTTTGTAAAAAAATAAAAATTCTATGTTTAATGAACTTTTTTCCCTCTTCGTGTAAAAAAATCTGATTTCAAATTATCTGAATTCTTCTTGTGTATAATAAAGCAAGACTGTTGCGTTCACACTGGGCAATCAAATATTGATTCAGCATAATTTCAGGTCGCTCCTTTTAGTAGTGATGATATAAAGCCCTGGTACGTCATCTGATTTCTTTTATAAAGGCAATTCATCACTCAACGTTTTTAAAGGATGTTTTATTATACGATGCATATAACCTTTGAGCTAAACCTGCGTCTGTGTGTGCTGAGCTTTTACAAGCGATAGAAAAAAACAACCTATTCACTGTTTAAATGCAACTAGTCAAATATTGGAGTTGAATCTCGTTTAAAAATGTAACCTTAAAATGTACTTAATATTAATAAAGGATTACGCAAACCAGTGATGTTTTATCATACAGGATCATTCCATATCTTTTAGACCGTATCTCTATTTGTCAGTGTATTTTCTTGAAATACAACTTGTTGTGTACATTGGAGCGAATTGTCGAATTTTAATTGTGTACCTAGTGCCCATAAATATTAGCGCCTCGGTGGTCTGTAGGTCAGATGGTGGAGCTAAACGTTTCAACAGACAACATCTACAGCACAAATATCTACTGGACGACATCAGTGGAAACAAAAGACTCTAAGATGTCTGCAAGTTACTGGTCAGGTACGTGGTCATTTTGATGTTAGCCAAGTTTTAAAAAATGTAGTTATATTTAACAGCTTTAATGTAAATATCGAATATATATGTATATATATATATATATATATATATATATATATATATATATATATATATATATATATATATATATATATATATATATATATATATATATGAATATACAGTGGTACCTCGATATAAGAGTGCCCCGAGATGCGAATTTTTCAATATACAAGCAGTCAAGAGAGGGCTATTTTTTGCTTTGAAATACGAGCAAATTTTGAGATACGAGTAGCCGGTTTCGCGGGTTTTACAGGTCATGACATTCTGAAAGGGAGGAAAAAACAAACCACCTTGACATATTTTGCTTTTAACACATGAAAAAGAGTAAATCGTGCGAAAAAAGCAAAACCAGTTAAGAGAATAGCATTCACGAACATAAAAAATAAAAAGTAATACTAAATTATAAAGTATCATTTACGTTCAACCATGTTTAGTAATTTTTTTAAGCTCAATTAAGTATAGGGATAAAGTGTAGGTTTAAAAGTGTAGCGATTAAGTTAATTAAAGTGAACGAATGCGCTTAGAGTGTAGAGAATGCCACTTTATATCTCCACCAGCATTTTTAGTAAGTTTAAGGTCGCTTATTTCAAAAGAATATTTACATTAGAAAAACAGTTGTATTTCTTTACATTCTTCATTTTAATGTTTTTTTTTTCACACAATTTGTTATTTATAAAAGCATATTTCTTATATAAAATAAAATAAATAGCAAAAGCAGTTGCGATTGCTATTTCGGTAGCAGGCTGGAACGGATTAATGGCATTTTATATTATTTAAATGGGAACAACCTGCTTTGAAATAAGAACAATTTGACATGAGAGCAATGTTACCTACGGAGCGAATTAAACTCGTAACTCGAGGTACCACTATATACATACATATACATACATACATACATACATATATATATATATATATATATATATATATATATATATATATATATATATATATATATATATATATATATATATAT